CACATTCTTTTTCTCAATGTTTGCCAAAGTCTCCACCACCCACTTTTCTACTCCAAACATTTCCCTTGGAAGAAAACAGACATTTTAAGATTTCACTTCCAAATAGACTATTTTACCACACAATTAGAAAATACAAGCTCTCTTTTCCACTTTAGGAAATATTTCTTTTGCAGATCACTGCTGCTTTGACACAAATATATTGTTATACTAAATCAAAACCCAGTAAAGATGATGATATAGCTCCAGCAAGAATTTTGCGGCTGCACGGCAGCCAATCAATACTGCATTTCACCTCAGATGGGATTACCATTTATCTCACAAAACCAATAAAATTTGACCTGTTCAGTGATTAAACCTGTATCCATGGCAACTGTCCGAAACCTCAGCAAATGTAAATATCCCTTGGCTCATTCAGCAAGGGTCTATTAAAGACAACATGAGTAAAATTAAACTTATGATCACCTTGTTGCTTCTCTTTGTGCTGAACTAGTCAGGGTTACAGAAAAAAATGAGGTAGAAAAAAACAAATAAAAAGCAAAAGTGATGAGAATACACCATTTGCAACATTCTCTCCATCTCTCAGCAAGTACCTATTCATAGCAAAACAAGTATATTTTAAAGTACCTAAACATTCAGGCTGGCACCCGGAGCACTCTATTGAGAATGCAGCATATTAGAAGATTCCTGTGGACAACCTGGCCATCTCCCTTTCAAAAGAAAGAGATGTAACACATAAAAACTCCTATGTCTCTGTTAATAGTCTCTCTCAACTGCTGGAGTGAATCCCTCCCCCACCCCTCCATTTGTATGGAGCACAAGTTTCACAATAATGATACTCCACACTGAAGAAAAGTGAAAACAGAAATGCCAGGGATGTAATTTTAATTTGTTAGTGACTGCTAACATGCATTAACATAAATCATTGCACATAAATGCCTGATGATTCCCTGAAAAGGAATTCAACACAGACTAGTATTAAACAAGCTTGAATGACTTTTCAGTAAACTCATTGGCTCTTTCACATGGAAATAAGTGTTAAGGGTTCTTCTTATGTGTGCCACAGTCTGGTGGCAATGCAGATCAAGGCTGGGGGCAATATCAGCATTCAGAACATAAAATATAGTTATAATTGCCATTGCAGTGCCCCTCCATTTAGAGGGCTCAGCAGTACATTTCACTAGTTTCTTGAACCATATCTGCTTATTACACTAAATCTGCATTAAACACAAACAGGCAGAATGTAACTAACATGACTCAACGCTCATGGCTTGATTGTAGCTTGATTCTGCTACTTGCTTGATTCTTCAGGAGTAAGAACTCCTGACACTAGGGCTCACCATCTCCTCTTACTGGGAATTAGCAGATCTGTAAAGCAACTCAGAATTATGCTGCAGTACAAGTAGTATTTAATTAGGATCTCTATTAGCCATGGCATTGCTAAGTAGGTAACCAGAAAATAAAACCAGAACTAGAGGGACAGTGAACTGCTGGAGAGAGTCCAATGAAGGGCAACCAAGATGATTGAGGGATTGGAGCATCTCCCTTATGAGGAAAGGCTGAGAGAGCTGGGACTCTTTAGCCTGGAGAAGAGAAGGCTGAGGGGAGACCTTATTACTACTTACAAATATCTAAAGGGTGGGTTGAAGGAGGATGGAGCCAGATTCTTCTCGGTGGTTCCCAGTGACAGGACGAGGGGCAGTGGGTACAAGTTGGAACATAGGAAGTTCCGTTCCAACACACGAAAAAAACTTCTTTACAGTTCGGGTGACAGAGCACTGGCACAGGCTGCCCAGGGAGGTTGTGGAGTCTCCTTCTCTGGAGATTTTCAAAACCCGCCTGGATGCAGTCCTGAGTAATGTGCTCTGGGCAATCCTGCTTTAGCAGGGCAATTGGACTAGATGATCTCTAGAGGTCCCTTCCAACTCTGAAAATTCTGTGATTCTGTGATTTCATCAAGTGAAGAAACAATAGTGCCTGCAACATAATGAATGAGTCCAAGCACACCTTCTCTCACTTCCAGAGCACAAAGCTGGCTCATTTCCCATGGGGGCAGAGATGCCATCCCATAAACCGCCTGTTGTTACAGAAGCTCTTCTATCATTAGGACCAAATGCAACTGGAGGAAAGCCAAGGTTAAAAGGAGACCAAAAGAAATAAAACAGCAGCAGGAGAGCTGAAAGAAGGTTGGTACATTTTAAAGCAAGCAGACTGATCATCTTTTGTGCAGGAAACTGCACAGCCCACAGATCAGCCTTGGCAATAGCCAAAGGTCACTCCTGCTGCACGCTGACGTGCCAAGCAGAGCCCCAGGGGGTACTGCAGGAGATGGAGAACAGGTAAAACGTCAGTGCCTTCAGGGTACGCTTTAAGGTGAAAGAAAGCAGGATGTTCAGCCAGGAAAATTAAGCTAAGAATATGCTTTCTGAGGGCAGATGAGGAAGAAATAAAGAGAGAAGAGGACAAATGGGAAATAAGAGGTCACCAAGCATTCATACCAAAATATCACAGGCAACAGATCTTCAATCCTCATCATTAAGCCCCTGAAAGAATGAAGTAGGAAGTCTTGGCCTTCTGCATTTTAGCTGGCATGCGATTTACCCTATAGAAAATCTCTCTTTAGAGATCTCCAGAAGCCCCTTTTTCTAAAAATAAAAACAAAAACAACAAAACAGAAACTGACACTGACATCAGAGCCAGCGGCAGCATAGTCATCTTGAGGCTATTCGAGTCAGCAGTATCCCGGAATGACATTAATTTGAATTAACTATCAGCTTCTATATAGCTGTTAAACTTTGCAAATAAGCCCTTCTGTAAACATGAAGTTCAAGCCTGGATTAGGGAAGAATTTGCAATGTAAAATCAGTCTATACTGCTAATTTTTTTTTTTTAAGCATAGAGCTACACATACAAAACAAACCCAGGAGTGATAATGAAACAGGAAGAGGCAGTAGGAAGTATACAACTGTTGCCTTGTACAAAGCCAGGATGATCAGAGTGGCAGGGAAAGATCTGGTTCACGGGGGACTTGCTAACAGCCAGAAACATAAATGAAAATAATCTAGAGGTGGCTTTGACAAAAAGATGCACATATTGAAGAAAAAAAGATTCCTGTAACTACACAGGACTATTTCTCCGGTATCTGTGTTGAAAAATCATCTTGACATCTTTACTGAGCTATTTGTCATTGAAATCCTCATTAAAACGAGAGTCCCAGAAATTCCATGTTACTCCAGCTCACGATACCGCAGTTAGCTCCAGTGGAGAGCCTGGTATTAAACTACCCTTCACCATTCAACATCTTAATTGAAATTGAAATTTGTCATTCTAATTATCCCTGAGCACATCCAGCCGTTTCAATATCAACTGCTATAATTGAGGCTGACATAGGGAGCATGGCATGGAAATACGAGAGCTCAATTTTAAAGTGGCTAAAATAAAATTTATTTTACTGTTACAATATATAATCTCTTATCAACACAACTCACAAAGTGTTTACAAAATAATATTTTCTGCTGCATTTTAAACACTACTTTTATACAAACTTTAAAGGTAAAATAGGAATTTGTAGCTAGAAATATTTGTTACATTTTTAGAAGCATCACAAGAATTACTTCAAACACGACTTTTTTTTTTTTTTTTTTCCTTACGGTGTCACCTTCACAGAAAAAACTAAATGTTTACTGTAAAGACCTGAGGAAGGATTCATGAAAGTTTTCTTTAGACAAAGGATGCCAGTGAGGTGCATTTGAGCTGACTTAGGTGCTCTGAATCACCTTACAAAGGAACCTCCTCCCTTTCCCTATGCTGACTATAGGGAAGAGAGGGAGCTTGGTGCATAACGGTAGCTTTCATGAATCCCCACATTGATGACCTACTATGCAGTAAGACCATAACATACAAAACTCTCGTCCTTAATGCTGTGCAAGAGACCACGGAAATGTTAAACAGAAGTATTACAGTTGTCACAAAACCTAGTATTTTAGTATGTTAAAATTAAAGTTATCTAATGTACCCCGTGAATCTGGCAGAAACAGGCAAGTATTACGTTACTCAACCCGGTCTCCACTACAATACACTAATACACATTAGAAGAGTGGAAAAAGCTACCATTTTCACTGCTGCTAAAGATATGTGTTAAAGTGAAAAGATTTATGCTCCTGCCAGTCAAGTCAGCTGACAGATTTTACATGACAGCAGAATCAGGCTGACAGTGATTATTTTACATACAGCAAGTAGGTAGAAAGAGGTGCTAGTTTGTTTTTTTTTTTCATGCATAGTTTAACCAGCTTACAGCCAGCTCATCTCCGTTAAGACTAGAGATGCATGATCCACCATTTGGTATAAGCCAAACTACCAGCAAAAATATTTCCAGTGCAAACAAAATTGTCTTTCTTCAAGAAAAACAACTAAATTTAATGCTATTTCTCAAAAAGCAATGCTTATGATGCGTCATTTTCTACCTATTTTGGTCTGCATTTATAAAAGTTCCCTTCCTCTCCCCAAATGACATCTGAAGACAGATGATCACAGTACACTATTTTTTTTTTTTAGGCAAATGACTGTCTCCTCCCCAAAACAAATTATACTGCCCACTGAAGATCATCCCTGAGAGCACTGTTCTAGCTAGACACTTAGAAAGTAAGCAATATCTCATATCTTAGAGGAGAAAAAGGCTGTTCACCCCATGAGATCTTGTGGTTTAAGAAAGTAAAAAAATGCAGCTACTCTGAGCATTTAAATTCCCTGAGCTGAGTGAAATTTGAAGATGGTAATTTGTAACACAAAGCATAGCAACATCTATAGCTGTACTTACAGATGCTGTAATTTTTTTTTTACAGTGGTAAAAATCAGATGTTAAATTACAAGCATACAGCAGTTGGTGGTGGCTCCTTTTACTTGCTTCCCGTCACAGGCAATACAATGGCCTTCTTTGGTGAAAAACCGCAGTGAAGAAGCTTGATGACTTCGGATTCTTTTGCCTTCTGATATTCTAGCAATCTTTAAGTTACAGTTAGTGGAGATACTACCAGGCCATAGTGCAGTACAAGTAAACCATCCTAGAGAAAAGAGAAATAAACTATATCATCATACAGTTCTCAATCATACCTTCTTCATGAGGCATTTCTGTCACTGCCTAGTATGACGATCACTGCATGGCAGAACATCAGCTTCAATCTCACTCACCATTTTAAACCATGTCCCTTCTCTATGGTGAATGCAAATTTTAAAATATCAAGGCAAATAATTACATTTCCCTTTCCTGTGTGGGGCAGAAAAAAAAAAAGTAATCAATTAGGTAGTTCTAGAAGGTGCTGCCAAAAGCTGTACTGAAAGAGTCCAGACTACTACTACACATTTATTAAGTAAAGACTACAAGTGACAAAAAAATAAAAATCTATTAGTTTATTAAGTCATGTTTCTCCTCTTCCGAGACTGTTCCACATAATAAAAAAAAAAAAATCTTTCACCCGTGAAACAGGATACTTCCTGATTCATTAGCCTTACTTATGTCACTTAATTCATGCACAGCTGGTGAAAGGTCTAGCCTTCAGTCTGCTTCCACCATTGATCCACTGGGAATGTGACTTGTTGCATTAGACCTATTTATATGGACAGGCCTTAATAAAAGTTTTCATTTGAAGAGAGAACTGCATTAATCAAAACTGACATGTAAGAGCTTCTACCATATTTTGCTTCTGATGTTTTTGTCTATTATCATACAGGACCTAAGATAACATATGTTCCAGAGAAGTTACAGTTCTGTGTGAGGGGGTGTAACCAGCATATAAAAAAAAATAAATCTTTTTAATTAAAAAGTTAATTACAAAAAATATAGTAACAAGAGTGTTGCCACTTTACAGGTTCTGTATTATAATACAGTAACAGCTGAAACTACTATATTAGTCTACAGTGTTTTAGAAGACTATATAAAATATTTTTAAACAATAATTCGTTATCTATGTAAAAATGCTTTTGACTGGCTTACGTAGCCTCAACTGCTCCTAAAAAAATATCTAAGCCATTTCACATTGGAGGAAATGTCCCTATATAATTTTCCAATTTCAAATGCATTTTCTCAGGAAGTTCCTGAGCCCTAAGTCAAAGTAGCTTTGTATTAGAGTCTTCTGATGACTTTTCTTCGATGAACTTGGTCTGTCGCTTTTGAATCTACAAACTTCTGGCATCCCAATCTAAGGGAAATCAAATCCAAGTGGTTTGCATTAAAAAAACCCACCCTATTTTATTCCTGTGTTATCAGTATCAGCTCAACAACATTCCTTCATCTTCTCATCCTGTTAATAACCAGAAATCCATTGCTAACTCCTAAAAGGATATAGGAGGAGGCAGAAGCTTTAACTCATTTACTCAGTGCCTAGCATACAGTGGGATGACTATGTTGCAATATGAAAACAGGATCCCGACTGTCCTCACTTCTTGTCAGGTAGAACAGGTACTATGAAGTTACTTATGAACCTCTTGGCACATACTATGTTGTTTGTTATACCTTCACAAAGGTATACTTAATCCTTGTGCCTGTTAGCTATTTCAACAGAGAAAATAAGACACGTTCAAGTTTCCTTTTTTGGAGATCTGTAGTCAAAACCAGTTTTTCCTCTATGGTACAGTTTCTTAAAGGAAAGAAGTATTTACACAAGAAGAAAATGCTACAATGTAATCTTTGATGAATGAGTTTTGAAATGGTACCTTTGGCAGTAGGACATTTAAATGAATTATCTGTCTACACAGGAAATATCCCTATTAAACCAAAGGCCAAAATCACTGCAATTCCTTCTGTACAAAGAGAAGCTGAGAATTAACTCAGTACTGGCTTTGCTTACTCTGTAATTATTCACTTTTTAAGTATTATATATTTCTATATATGTTCAGCCGTTTTCTCTAGATACTGTTCTTAAAAGGAAATCCAAGCAGGGACTGACCTCTCACTGCTTATTACAAACCTCAAATGAGGCTAACTCAGGCATGCCCAAAAAAACCCCAAAATGAAATATAATTGCTTCTACAGCAAAACTCTCCACTGTTCTTTGCCACACATTTGTGAACCTGATCTAAAAGAAAGTGGAAAGGATCCCACCTGTTACATCCAACTATAAACTTTAAAGTGAAACTGACAAAAACATAGTGTATACATCTTTTGATGTTGTAAGAGCAGCAGCAACAAAACCTACTGGACTTTCCAACTTCAATATCCCCACAGCAAAGAGTAAAACACTTCCATAGCAGATGCGTACTAGAAAGTCACAGTAATTAAATTAGATTACAGCTCTTATTGCCTAGCTCAGGAGAGACCAAAAACAATACAATGGCATTGGGTTACAAAAAGATGAGGGTTGCAAAGGATGCATTATAATCTACAAGACCTCTGTGCCAAAGGCCAGGGACATAAAGGAAGCTACTCTTTTTAGCTTTTCCCATATGTGAGCTCATTATACCCATCAGTGATGCAAAGCTCTGAGAAGGCCAGTTCCAGACAAGTGAAAATAACTAGCAGCTTGGATCACGTTACATTTATGCAGCAGAGGGCAGGAAGGCAATACAGGGAAGAAATTGTATTCCCATATAATTAACAACAAGCTTCCTTCCTTGACTACTTGATCAATATCTTAAATACCTTGACAACCTCAATGCTTGGTAACAAGATCGAGCTTTTTAAAAATTTCTGTCAGTGTCTTTGATCTCTCCTTGCAGTAAATTCCACCAGTTATACAGTTTTAAAAATTAAGCCAAGTGCTTCTTTTTACATAAATACTGTGCAGCAAATTTTTAATGTTTTTGCCCTAAACAGTGCTGGAAAACTTATTTCAGGCTAATTAGAAAGATTCAACCAACCACCCAATTTCTGAAATGTTAAAATATCTTGAGATTTACAAGATTAAACAAGATTTATTCCTGAATTTTTTTTTAGCCTTCTATCAACTACTCAGAAACCAACATGTTAATTGTTTACATTCAACCGCTAAAATAAGTTGCCTGTTTACTCCAATTAGAACAACCCAAACAGGTTGCTATGAGGTCAGTATCAGGAACTGATCTTCCCACGCTTCCTGGAAAGGCACACAGTTATTCAGAACAGCTAAAACCCTGCTAGCTTGCTCATATAGGAGCCTTTAACTTAGTGAGGCTCTAAGACACTGCTACACATTGTTATTTGGCAGGAAAAAAAACCCACCCTCCAACAACCAAAATCTTCACAAAACAACCATGAGCATTTAAAGAACCATTCCGGAGGAGTAAAAGCTCCTAGAAATTCACAGTGATTATGGCCCAGAAAAATAAATCCCACACAACGTATGTCATGCTGCATTGCATTGGAAGAAACTCTTCCAATGTAAATGCTGCCAAAGTGTGCACATTAAAATTAATGCCTTTGGCAAAGAGAAACTTAACTGCATTTTTAAAATCACTTTTCTCAGCAAAAAGAATAACTGCTGACATGAATGAACTTGCAAGCGAAAAATGGGATTCAGAAGAGCAGTTATTTTTCTCCTCTAACAGTGATTGTCCTCATCCAAATAAAAAATTCTAATGTTTATTCCTTTCAATGACTTTGTAGTGCATAAGTAGCTACTGAAGCTATTTCCTTAGCATGAAGCATCTACAATGACCCTCAGAAACTGGTAAATGACAACGGCAGTGTTGAAGAGTGTTTCAGGATCCTAGTGAGAACTGTTAGGGGCATTCCAAGCCCCAACACTGGTTTGGAAAGTCTGGAAGGTTATAATGGCACAGGGTGCCCTTGGAGCTTAATGTAAACTCCATCAAATGTTCCTGTGTAGTTGCAGTCTCACTGGGCCGGGACAGTCATGTTCTCATTGAATTTCACGTCTTGGTGAAAAAGAAATAACCTTTACCATTTTTAGGCTTGACCTACCCACTATTAATTTATTTTCTGGATAATTACTAAAAACATTTTCCAAGGTATTTTAATCCTAGAAATGCAGCCTATTGATTTCTGCAAAATAATATAAGGTAAGACTAGTAAACATGAAAATATGTCACAATTATTTCAATATCAAAAAAGAAGCAACTGCGGTTTGCTTGCAAAATTCCTACTGTAATTATTTGACATCCTAAGAGATTTCATAACAAAATGAAGAAAAGTTAAGGATGAACATGATCTTTCAAATTTCCTGGAAAAAGTGACTATGAAAGCACAAGACTTCACAAAAAGCAAATATCTTTTTCTGTTTGTTTGCCCAAGAGAGCAGGCTTGCGAGAATTCATCACTAGCATACTGATTTTGTAATAATGAGACTTGACACATCACTGGAGAACATATCCCAAGATAACCGTTCTCTTTGTGGAGCTGCTGACTGGTACTTAGCCACTAAACAACAATCAGGCAGACCCAATTCTGACAAGAAATGAAAGACAGTAAACTTCAACTAGGCAGACCCATTTCTGACAAGAAACGAAACCGATGCAGTTTTCCTTGAAGTGCTTCCCCAAGAGCATTTTTCATAGATGAAAAGCTTTCGTGCTAAGGTGAAGTCTAAAAGCATGTACACTTGACTATACCTCTGGACTGAGAAATAAATTATACCCCTGCTATTTACTGAAGCTTTTAGTAGAGGGCACTTCCATCATTATGTGTTGATCGCTACATTTACTTGCAATGCTTCTAACGTAATGAGTTCGAGATTGTGCTGGCTTCCTCACAGTTTCTATCCCCTGCTTTCCAAGGCGGGTTAGGTTACTGGTTGTGGGATCCCTCCTAGTTATTCAAATCAGGTACAGCTGATGCAGTGTCCAAGATACCTCAATATCAACTTTTCACTTCTTATCCCTGACACAGAAGACCTCTTGTACCATGAGAGTGCTGAGGAAATTTAAATGTAAGAGATCGCATATGCGTGTGCACAACCAAGTCAAGAGAACTGAATTTGCTACTATTTTAGCCCCTCTGCCATCTGCTTAGATTGCTTTCAAAATAAAATATGAATCTAAATCCTATTTCTTCCCACTGTATTAGACTGAACATAACTTTTCAGACTTCCAAGTTTAGATTCATATACAGTTTACCATACATCACGATTTTACATCTATATCCTACTATGCACTGGGCAGACTATTTCATTGGTTTTGCTGCACTTCTAAAATGGTGTGACCCTTCCCATTATAAAGATGCTCGAAACGATTCCCAAGGAAATAAAAAAAAAAAAAAAAAGCTTTCTTATTTGCAGAGCCAGCAGCACTTAATACAGTAAGTTATCAACAATAAATAGTTGGCTATACACTCAAGCTGTGACCAGGACTTGTATAATATGCATTAAGCATATTAATTGCATTCATTACTCTGTATCTTTGGCTTGTACTTTTAGGAGCAAGTTTATTCCCCTGACCCAGTCGAAAGGCTACCTTATTTGGGATGCTTCAGTGCTTTGATTTCTTGCAGAGATGCAATCTCCATGGAGAAAAACAAGGAATGTTAATGGAAAGAAAGGCTAGTATCATCATTTATCACCGATAAGATAGCAACTTGTTTCGGAGTTGAAAAAACAACCCCAACAACCACATACAAAAACCTCATATCCAGAACATCAAACTATCAAGAACACTCTTAGCACATGGTATACTTCTCAACTCTATTTACAATATAAAAAACATTTTGCATAAGCTGGAGAGCTTTTCTAAGTGACTTCTTCAGACAAGTTGGTGCTACCTGATATCTTAAGAAAGAAGTCTTCCATTTTAAAATAGAAAACCAGGAACAAAGCTCCAGTTGCCACACATACCTGTACTGCACTCTCTCCTATGGCTTGACGAATTTCCCTCAGTGTCTGGTAGTGTTCTAGAAGGTGATCACCACATATTATGTCCACCTGTGAAAGAATGCAAACAGGATCAAGTTCAACCTACCTTTGGACTAGCAAAACAGTACTTAAGCCCTTTAAATTTGATCAGAACAGTTCAATTCTAGCACATTAGACTCTAAAGCCATCTTTACCTTTGTTGTCCAAATGTACTTAGCATGCACAGCACAGCACTACTGCACCACCCTAATGCCTCCCACCCCATGCCCCTGACCTGGGGCTCACTTCTGGAACAGAGAGGATAGTTTACTGTTTCACTCCCAGTTTGGTGCATCCACTTAAAACGTTGTTTAGTAATAGCTGTGATTAATTTAATGGGAATTTAGATCATGTATTAAAATGATCCCACAAACACACACAGTCATTTATCAGTTGAAAAAGAGGGCAAGTTGTTTCTGCCACTGACAGAAAATGAGTTACTGCTACTCTCATTCTTACCTTGAGTGAGAAAACATGCGAATAAGTCTGCTTAATATGACTGGAAGATGTGTTTTAACAGAAAAGAACAGCTCACTGTATGCCACTGTCAGCAATTACTTCACACAGCCCTCCTTCAAAATGCAATCAATACTTCTGTGCTGCAAGTGAAGGGCATACTCAGAAATTCTAAGCAATGTCCTCTACTGCAGCTAAACTATGTCAATGATGTCTGCAATTCTGGAGGAGACACTTTTGTTAAGTAACTGCCCACAAAAACAGTAATTTTGAGGAAAACAAACCCCATAATGAGGTATTCTGAATTCCCTGCCTTGACTATTATGAAAAATAAGCTTCCTTATAAAGTTACTATGAATTTACTGTGCATAACGTAAATCCAGTCTGTAACATTCCAGATTAGAGCAGCTAACACAGCACTGTTTGTCTCTCAACTGCAGCTTGCTTACAGTTTCCTTATGAGCAATTTCTAGATATGGAGATGATAGGGGTCTCATCTGTGAATTACAATGACAAAACCTCAAAATTAAAATTAAGAGCATTGACAATGAGCTGTCCCACAGCTTTCTGCAAGGAAAACATCCAAGCTCTGCCACTGCAGCAGTCAGGGAGCATACTGCAATATCATTATATATTCTCTTATATGGCCTCGTTCCACTATAGGATGCACTTTGTGCTTCAGCTATTCAGTTCCCCTGGATTTATGCTCTTCTGCATGCTGACCCCCTATCTCTCTCAATCTTTGTGAAAAGATTTAGGAAGATTTATGCATCATGCTGGCAAACCATCTTGTTCTAGGAATCGGGAACACAAGAATTCTACTCCTTAGAGGTTCAAAATGGGGTAATTCACTTCACCGGTATGAGAACAATGTAGAATACTCCATTCAAGTTATGTAAACTGCTTAGTATTACTTCTGCTTTTAGCTTCTAGGAGGACAGCAGCAAGTAAAAACTAATCTGGACATAACGTTAGATGTTGATTAGATATTGATCCATATATGCACACGCGTGCATATTTAACATCAACATTAGATATACTTAACACAGAACCTGAAAGAAATATATTTCTTTTTCTTTTTGAAAGCTGGTTACAGTTATTTCTATTGTTTCCCATGCATTCTAGCCTCTACAGTTATTACTGCAGAAGACAGACATGTCTGCTTTCCTTTCCAGTTATAGATGAGTTTAATTACTTTTGCTTTATAAGCTTACTTATATAATTTTTATGCCATAGGTCACTGAACACTTAATCTGGCTCCCACTGAAACATACACATTTTATACATATACATACACATTTTATATATTCTACAGAAATAGAAAAATCTAATCTATTTGGCCAATACAGAATGCAAACAGACACAGTGACAACTGCTGACAATCTTTCAAAATAGAATCAGAACGCTTGTTTGAAAATATCCCACTGTTGATCCTGCTGTTCCAGTTTCAAATGGTAGTCATTAAAGATCCAGTGTCTTCTAATAAATTGAGAAGAGTTTTTCACATTTACCACGTTAGAGTGCTCTGAATACGAAATGCCTAATCTCCTCATTCCAGCACCAAAGCCTGAATTTCTGGCTGCTAATTGTTATGCTAGGATTCATTCTATAAGGATAAGAGAATAAAAGACACAATGAAAAAAATCCCAGTTCAGGGTGAAAAATCAGCTGTGAAAGGTGTCTCAGAGGAATGCTTGTGCCATACAGGAATTAATATACTCCATTGCAAAAGAGGCACCAGCAACAGAAGTGCTATGAATTTACTACAATTTCAACTGACTGGTAAAATTGAAGCCAACCAGTACTGATAGCTAGTGAGATAGCAGTAAATATAGTTTGACCTTTTGCTGAAAGGAAATATGAAGATGTAGCTGCTGAATACTGTCACTTCTGTTAAAAATCTTATTAAAATAAAATAACCTTTCCATTATGGCATTTATTTTCTTCAGGTGGCAGGTTTGCTATTAGAGCTATTTCTCTAAAAGCCATGATAACAGACAATTATAAATTAATACTCACCAAGTAAGACAGAGATAAAAATGGAAAACTTTCATGTAAGGGACATCCCACGTAAGACTCCTCCCAAGGGGGAATCTGGCCCAGAAACCAGTAGACCTCAATCAACAGTTTCTCTGCCAACCCACACTATCCAGGGAAGGACCAGGAAAACACAAAGTTTTAGGGATTGATATAAGCATTTGGGCTAGTTATTCAAAAAGCTGGCAAAGCTTTCCATTTCCTCTAGTTGCTATTTACTTTTCAAAGGTACCAGATATTTCTATTCCAGGGTCTAAGACTGGCACAAAGAAACCGCACCAACAACTACATTGCACAAGCACAGACTTTCTTCCAATCTTTCCCCAGGCAGCATTTTATACACACACTTTCAGGAATGCACATGTGATTATGGAACATTTCTGTTCCATAAGCTACATTAATGCATTCAGACCAGACCAGTCACAAGCCTTTCAGCAGTCTCTCTCTTGTCCTTACAGAATGAATGGCAAGAAGGGATAATGCTGCTGCAGGATGACCTCAAAGGAAATAACACTTCAAAGAAAACTTCTGAGTCTCTCCCCACTCTTCAGCAGAACACAAACTATACAGATGCGCATCAGATGTTGAAGCCAAATACCTGATGGATTCCAAACACCACAGCCTGTATTTAGCTCAAATTAAATGTTAAATACTTAGCTATTAATAGCAATTCCAGTTGCTCAAAAATTATTTTCACAAAACCCCACAACAAATTCCAGCAAGAATATTTAGGAGAGACCTTGTAATTAGAAATATATATAAAAACAAACAAAAAATGAATCATCGTCCAAAGCACAGAGATCAAAACAAAGCACCAGAAAAAATAAACTACAGCCTGTCAGATGAAGTGGTAGATAAAAAAAAAAAAATGAAGCCTTAACCTTTCATACAAGCTATGAAATTTGAATCATAATCCTTTTGCAAACTCAAATACAGGAGTCTGAAAATAATTTGGGGCCTGAGACTTACAGTAGTTCAGAAGAATGGGTAACATACTTTCTATCACTTGGTCACTCAATCAGTTGTAACAGGGAACAAGTAAAACATTCTCAAATAATAATTTTGGAGATTGTCAAACTAAGCTGATATTCAGTAGGAACTCCTTCCATTCACAAAATAACCACACCTAGTGTCCTTACTAGAAGTTTCAACAATGAAACCAAGAATGCAATTGATATACTGAGGAGAGAAAGGAGGAAAGACTCTATGCCCTCCTTACAATCAAATCTTTCAAATCTTTTCAGGTAAGGTACAATTAAACACTGTGGCAGAAATGTTAACATTTTAGCTCAATAGTGCCTGAAATATGCATTTCTGAAAGAAATTTCCTAGCTTCCCAAGGGAATCTGGTTCTTGGACTCTAGTCTCAAGTTAAATGCACCAAACTCATGACATTTTATATAAAAATTGATTACCTAAAAAGGTAATGAAGAACTGGAAAGAGTTAGAAATCAAGACTAAACAAGTAAAATCAAAAATAAAAGCTTGTTGTCCTAAGTCAGCATCTATTTCTTCTTTAACATACTTTGGGAAAGCCTACAGGAAATTATGAAACACTGCAGTCCTCCACTCGTCAAATTTCCACAGCAAACTTTTGAAAAAGCAGCCAAGCACCCTCTACATTTATATTAGTTGCAAATATGGTTTACAATTTATTTCTCTAAATTCTTCTGCCTGTGCTCATTTGTATTCAGGTTCTCCTTAATTTAATTTTATGGCTTCTGTTTTATTAGCCATCCAGGAAATTTGGAGTAAGACATGATTCATTAGGCTTATTAATCTTCAGTGACATATCTGACATCTCTTTCTCTTTTTGCATGTTTACCAACAAACCATCAGCTTCAGTTCTGCATACTACAACGGGAAGGTGACAGCTCAGTACATACACTCCTTTAACCTTAAGTCTCCATATGACAAAGAAATTATTAATCAGGATAGGAAAAATACTTCCTGCTTCATTTCCCAAATTCCCTTGTCTTCTAAAAATAAGCCTGAATATCTTCAAGTCATGATTTGTGACATGAAAATCAACTACAGGTTTCCAGAGACCAAAAAAATAGTCACTGAAAAAAATGGGAGCCTACCAGTTGCGGGGGCGAGGGGGGGGAAACAAAGCAGCCAAAGGATCTGACTGTAGAAGAAAACAGATTTAATATTTCCTCCACACAAGGCTTGCTCAGAAGAGACCAAGAGATTAGAACTAGCCAATGATTGTGCCTTACTCCAGAATGGCACACTGGATACTAGCAGCGGTAAAAGTGCCTGGGTCAGCATCAAGCAACATCTTGAGAAAGGAAATCTATGAAATCATCAGCTTTTGAGACACAGTAACATTTACCCACTAACAGCGGATCATATCCTGTCCAGGAAGTCCAAGCAAAAAGTAACCAGTGGGGGAAAAATTCTCAAGTTATTTCTATTAGGTGATCACAAGATTGCAAAATCTGAAAGACCACCAACACACAGGTCTAGCTCGATTTTGCAAGACAGGTAACTGCAGTTTCCATTACAGATGTTCAGTGTTACTGAGAATTGAGATTCTGATGTACTACTTAAGAAAACCCAAACAAAGAAAACAATTCCTTCCCCTCAAATCAACAACTCAATTAATGCAAGAAGTTTCTCTAGCATCATTTTATTTGTTTAGAATATCAAGTAACCACCACCTGAAAGCTATAAAGACTCTCACTAAGAGGAAACCAGCAAATGAAGATACATTACTTCCTCACAATGATTAATAATTTATATTTGATTTGCTTTGTGACCACTGTAAAGGTAATCAGCGTGAATAGATACTCATTACTGAGGCACACAGTCATGCTGTATTGTCGCAGACAGTTACTGCTGTATGAAAACACAAACTTAACTCCAAAGGCAGCACTTAAGTTCCATCATTTGCCTATTCACATCAGTATCGGCTTGATTTACCAATAACTGACAGCTTTAAGAATTGGTTACACATGACAGAACTCCTGCACCTTCTCAACTGAATAGCTGCTGAAATATACTGAAGAACTGAAGACTGGTTTGACATGCAATTGCTATCAAAATGGTTGAGAAATACAAAGTTAAATTCTTTTGTATTGTACTCTGCGCCTTTGAATTCTTATTTGGAGGAACATGTCTACACATGCATTCATACCTTTCATTCCAACACATCCATCCACAGCATCACTCTTTTTTAGCCCTTGTTTGCTTCTTCAACATTCAGTTAAATTTTACTGATACTCAGCTCCTACATGTCTCTGCTTTCATACCCTCCCACGCCCACATACTTTCCTGTCTACATACTCGGTTTTATCCTTGAAACAGCAGTATCTTTTGGTTTTGAATTTGAACCTGCTGAAATCTTACCTGGAACTTTAGAAACTCTCTGCAAATAATAAAGTATTATAATGAAAATTTAAACATGTTGCAAATGAGTTGAGAGTTTCTCCTTGCAGATCACAACATTTCAAACATTTAATTTTTTAATCCTTACTGCATTAAAAAACTCTAATATTACTTCTAGACTCTAATGAACAATGGAAACGTTCTGTCTGAAGGCATTACATTGATCACAGTGAACTAAGTGCCACTACAAGTAGCATACCTGACAAGTAGGATCCAGATCCATTTTTCTTCTAAGGAATTTCTCCACATGTCCAATTGTTGCCTCCCCTGAAACACGCACAAACTTCTTTTCCAAAGGCTGCAAAGAATAAATGTGAGATTTTAAGACAATGTACATTTTCAGCCATCATCCCTCATAAACCCCAAACCTAAGTGGAAGCCCAATAACAGAGGGAGAAAGCTTACATTTTTGGACTCTTTTCTGATCTACTTCGAGATTACCTCATAGAGATATGACTAAATATGTATTAAGACTCCAGGTTCAAACTTCCTGCTGTTTAAAACAACATTTAAAAATAACTAACTACTGACTTCAGTCCTATTTCCCTACTGAAGTCCCGGAGAATGATATTTGCTATTAATTCTGCATAGAAATTACTACTACACAGCATTTTAAGAACTTCTCCCCCCACAAGCATTTACTCATCAGAAGAACATGAACTATTTCCTAAAGTTTCCTTATTTCCCTAAATCAGGCCTGTGTACCAAACACGATTCAGATAATTAAACCATGCTGCATTTTATAATGCAAGGAGCTTAGGTCCTTTAGCATTCTGAAATATTTCTGTATTATGGCTTAGGCTGGAATCAACTTAACAGTCCATAAAATTCCAGAATCAATTAAAGTATATTATTATGCAGAACACAAGGGCAAGACTGGTCTGAAATCTTTTTGTATAATTTCTAAATACTTTTACAACAAGGACTGCAATGACAAGACATTTGTTATGCCAGCTTCAAAAATTTAATAGGTTTCTCTTCTACGGATAAAATTTTAAACAGCTGACTGGTGATATGGGCAGCTAAGCTAAGAGGCACAAAGGCAGTGCAGATGACTGCATTCAGTGTGATAAATGGATTACCTTTTGTGTCAATTAATTGGATTTTTATGTTGACTTCTGAACAGCTGTGATTTACTATCCAGGTTCATCATATTCTTTCCATTTGAAAGAAGGGTCAGAGGGTCGTGGACTACCCTTGAATTTAAATATGTATCCATGATAACTGTGGTATTGGAACAATAGTTTGATTTATTCATGTACAAGAGCTAGAAATGCCAGTCAGACCTGATCTAAGGAACCATGCTGCTGCAAGCTTGATGATGCTGAATTTATGTGTGCTGAATGTATAAATCAGAGTTTACGGCCACAGACCTTGTAACCTGTTCTCTCCTCCCCCCATCCCCACTTGGAGGGAAAAAAAAAAGGTTGAAAAGCCTTATATATATATATGAAGTATATATATGAACCCTTCGTATATATATATATATTTTTTTTTTTTTTAGAGATATATATATATATATGAAGTTCAACATCTAGTTCAGAACAGTAAGACAGATAAACAACTGAGAACAGAGCAACACCAAAAATGGATCAGGGTATGCTTTGTGAGAAGTGGATATTAAAGAGGATTTGGAAGGTTGATGAGTAAACCTCTTGGTCATGAAGTGGAATAAAAAAGCACGAAGATATGAAGTGTAGTGAAGAAAATAAGGCTAGAAAGAAAGAAGAGAGTGAAACAGGGGGTTAAACACACAGCAAGGAAATTGAAAATGTCATAGAAAAATACCAGTTAAGAGATGTGGTATTTCTTGAAACTCATACAGATGACAGAGAAGTCTAAATATGCACATAAGCTGAGTGGCACTTTAGTTTATGGACAGTAGGATTATTTGCAGCATAGAACTATACATTACAGGTATTGGCGGGCAGCCTTTCATCTTCAACATCCTCAAAACACTACAGTTAAAGTGAGCAGGAATATTTATGGCTTAAAAAGGGGGACAAAAACCAAAAACCACTTACACACAAAAAAAACCCCTTTCCTGAAAAGCTGGGTAGTTCTGGGGACATAAGAGATGATGAAAACTGACTGTAGACATTTTCAGGACATTGTCCCCCTTCTACAGATTAATTTTGTTTGAGGAAACTATACTTACATTTCAACTCTTTATGAATCTGTATTTGAAAGTTTGAAATTGCCTCCTAAGTTATGCCATAACAAATATAATTACTATTAAAAATAGTATGAATAACTGCAATCAAATCAAATGGTTCAGATTTGTGCCTGAAAATATATTGATTAGAAATCAGCTCAGCTGAAAACACAAAGGAAACTAGTAAAATGGCACAATCAGGACAATTCATATTTAAGTTACTAACACAATATTTTTCTGAAATTCTTCAACCGTAAAATTTTCCTGCCAACTGTATCAGTTAAGTGTCTCTTACATTCTGTTATTCTGTGCCATTCCATCTTTTGAGTGTACAATTCCAATACAACGAAAGATTAAATGCAATATACAGTGTAATTTAAAATTACATCTCCTTCTTGCCCTCTAAGAGTCTTATTTTCTAAATGTTTAGTGAAACTAGTGGAATGACACACTCTGAGCATCTCTAACTACACCACATGAAACCATGAAGGAAGCAAACAATGTATAGTTCCTCTATGAGTTTGTACCAAAGTAGCTCAGTAAGAAGATCTGTATCGGAAGAAGAGCCATATTCTTTAGCAAGGATTGCAAACGCTATTTCTTGTTTAGCAGAACAGCCACTGTTCGGACAACAGATGTTGATAGTGAAGAGATGGAGAAAAGAATAAGCATTCTGCTGGCTAAGGAAGTCTATTGTGCCATCCAGACAATTTGCATATTTTTTTTGGTTGTTTAAAGCCCACAGCAATTTATTATACTACTGTTATACCTCAGGCTATGCTTCCTCTGAATAACCTATGCAAGCTTTCCACTACAATTAGATAATCTTCTTCAAAACCCAGTATTTTAGACAATGTCTACACCTCTGTTCAGGATTCCAATAAAAGCCACAGTAGTGCACCTTTTGGAGACAGATGCAAGAATAACAAGTTAGAATCACCTAGGTGAAATTTCATCAGTATCATTCCCATTCTCCTACCAAAACTTCACGCAGCCTCAGAAGCATTCTTTTCCTATTCTGTGATGCTATGCAATAATAGGTTTGAAAGTACACTGAAATCCAAGGTTGGTTATTACTATGCTGATGAAAGTTCAAGCTGTACTCAGTGTAAGAAAAACAAAATAAATGAAATACATTCAGGTTATACATATTTCTGAAGTAAATCATATGAGAAAAATTCAAATCACATCTGCACCTTAAAATTCCCTGTGCCTTCGTTAGCTCTGAAAAACAAGAGAAGAGTAAACACAGTCAATATTGCTATGGTTAACAGTTATTAACACCCTAAAGCTCTTTATTATAATAGCGACTTAATGATTTAGTAGTCTGGCACATCAAGCTTATTTTTCTAATCAGGCTGTTCCTTTCATTGAACTCCAATACATGAAATAATATCAGACCGAATTAATCTTTTTCTCCTACCCTTTATTTGGTACTCCATTTTTCTTGTGAATTCAGCTATTTAAGATTTGTCTACATAAAATATAAAAACCAAGAACCAATTTTATACACAACATAATATTCACTTTCATAGGAATGGGTTGTAACATAAATGCTGCTTAAACATCCATAATTCATCATCCTTGATATTTGGCACTTTAACAGATAGTACTTAAGAACTTGCTGAGAGAACATGCCCAACCACCAAAGAGGCTTTCTGGGCCAGTTGTTGGCCTTCCAGACTATTTATAACACAGGATTAATGCTAATGCTATCTAGGAACTCAGGAAAGCAGCAGGTGTTTCTCTGGAAGGTGAAATACACACAAAGGTGGCAAATGACCAAACTCTTAGCTGGCCTCAAGAGAGTTTCATTACTTGCCCAGTCTGAGCAAGTGATCCACTATTGATCATCTATACTCCACATCTCCATCCTGTAGTGCAACGTATAAATTTTTTCAAAGAAGCAAGCCCAATTAATCACATTTTACTGTTCTTCCATTGCATTAGCAAGTGTGCATGTACGAGAGAGGAAAAAGAAAAAAAAAAGCAGTACTTCACGGCACTGGAGAGGGCAAAAATCAAACATCACTATAAATTGACTACAATTCTACCCACCATTTGATATAGCAAACAAATTTATTTGTAATGCTTGTGCATACCACACATTAGCGTGGTACTTCAAGTTACTGTAACTGACTATCTCCACCTCTAAGCATGTACCAGTTATCAGAGTTAAGTAAAACTATCATAAAATTGTGCCTGAAAAATTAAATGAAAATTAAATAAAAATTAAATGAAATTTAAAGCTACTAACAAGCAAACATAGAACAGCTTTTCCAGTACATCTGTCATTTTCTTTGATACAGTTCCGCAGCCACAGGTAATTAGACAGTACACTCTAAAAAACACAATATAGACAGTCAAACTTTCAAAGTAACAATTTCTGCTGGCTAGTACAATTTATTCCAAGCTTGCTTTATTCAAAGAGCTTTCTTAACCACTCATCACCAAGACAGGCTCTTTGATTTTGCCCTTTGAAGAAGAAAATATATTAACCCTAAAACATATAAAGTATAAAAGAAGATCAAAGGTTAAAAAAGTCACTCAAATAAATTGCAAAGTAGATGCCATTAAGGCATCATCCTTTGTTAGAAACGTTCTGTGCTTCCCTCCATATACATAACAAAAACACAGTGCACAGTTTCACATATTATAGACGGTATTTGCACAATATTACCTGTTTTGCTGCCAACACTGGAATGGAAGCTTGAAATATAACTACCAGAAAAACAAATACAACAACATAGATTCAAAAATCACCTTGTTTCACAGACAGGCAGATACATATTTACTAGTTTTGAGGTTTAAGTTGCCTAACATCTTCCTTTTGCTCTGAAAAAAGAAAAAGGTAGCTGCTGAGAATCACGGCGGGGGGGGGGGGGGGTGTGTGTGGGGGGGTGGTGTGGCAAAAGTAACCAGGAGACTTTCACAATGGAGATCTAAACCAAAGTACTTTCACTACAGTGAGTTTAAACTGTATCTAATCCTGCAGCCAAGAAAATCTAAGGACGCTTTCCTATAAAGTCACCAAGTGTTCCAACCTGAAAGTTATATCCTTGGAACTAAAAGCCTCATTCCTGTTTTTAAAGTCATTCATTCTAGAGAGAAATTATCATTGAGGAAGATGCAGGGCTGTTGGTACAAAAGCGTGCTCCTATAACTCCATATGCTCCCTCTGCCACCTGCCAGGCCAGCACAGCAGTGGCCAGTACCCATCACAGGTCCCAGAACGGGCATCCCTCAAACTCCTATCTAGATGTTAACTTAATGAGATATAGTCACAGCCAAGGCAATAAAATAATAACTTACACATTGCTAACCCAACATACATGTAGGGTGAACAGCATTAGATTTACTCTTTTCTACCCAGATTTAGTCAAAGCATTTTATCTTATGTCTGTATTTATCCATTTAATCACATTTTACTCAACAGGCTAAAAAGCATGCCTGAGCACCAGGTCACTGAGACCCATCACATGTTTTATACCACATTCATTAAAGGGGAAAAAAGCCTTTATAAGTACAATTAAAAACTATATTTAAATTAAGTTTTGAGTGTACACTACACAATGGTCAAAGGCTGAACAGCTATATGTCGTCTTTGTTTTCCTCTCCTGTTCAACACATGGCTCTTGCCTTTAATTATGGCAAATCTGCTCTTAATGCAAAGCATTAAATTTCCTTAGTCTCATTTCTTCACCACATTAATGTATTTCCATACCATCCTACTCAGCAGAATGGCAGTGTAATACCTTGTTTAAAAAGAAGAACCGAAGACAGACTGTATTGAAAGGTAAGGAAGAACTGCAAGTACGCGATTTGGGACATTCAAGATTGCATTTGCCTGCAGAATACTTGATACTACAGTTTTAGTGATGACTCCCACTGCTTTCAGCTGTGCTTGTGAGCATTCAGCACTTCTGCAAGTCAGGCATACAGAAAATGAACACTGAAATTAAGTCAGGTATATGGATTAGCAAGGACATTCTACAGAACAGTCAGGGATTGTTCCCTAAAGGTTTAGCTCAAAGAGCTTCTCTTTATTCCTGAAATCCCACTTCTCATCCATTTAAAGAAAGAAAGAAGCCATGTGATGGGCAACACTTAAAAAAAGCTAACAAACCAAAAAAAACCACACACCACCACCTACCTGACCAAATTTTACCCATGGAGGAAATACGTTCTGTATTCTGAATAAAGTAAGACACAGTGGAAACGCTGGACATAACCTATGAAAAGGCTAGGACATGATGTCTACAAAGAGCGAGGCTGAATCAAGATGGTATGCTTTGCTGCTAGAATTTCCTAAATTCTGATGGCTTGACTTTACATCATTTGTGTAAGTTTGCTGTGGTTATGTATTGGAGTTCTCTGAACACTGTGTTCAGGCAAAGTGAGGCCAAAAACAGGCACAGTCTGGGTAGAGGAATAAGAGTTGCAAAGCCAAGCTGCTTCCCCCTCCCTCAACTGATGTTCTGCACTGTGTGGTGCTATCAGAGTAGTTACAGCTTTCAATCCTTTCTCAATTACTCCTTCTCAATCATGAACATATAAATCTGCATACGGCCAAAGCAATACTATTTCTCCTTCCTGTATTCCTGAAAACAACTAAAGTGTTTGGGCTGTATTTCCCCCTCACAATCCATTGTTAAAAAGCAACTCCTGATACAAAAGCTTCAGCATAATTCATTAAAGTCTGGGAAACTGTCAGGCAAACTTAATAGTAGATCACATTATTACCCCCAGCTATAACATTTACAGGAACACTGCTCTTGCTGCACAGGTTGTAGTTGCAGTCCCTGAGTTACATGAGCAAATCCTAACATAGTCAGCATTAATGGTACTGCCACCTACAGGGATTAAGGAAGTGTAAGAGACAGGTATTTTATCATTCAGTTTACCGAGACTACACTACTTTGTTAAAAATGAAATAAAACCATCTAAGTTTTAAAATTACACTTTTTAGCAAGCTGTTTTCCCAGGAAGACATCTTACACAATTATATGCATCATCTAGCTATGCATAGTTGGCTGTCACTATCGCACTGTAAATTAAGACCAGTACGCCATCTGCTATTTGACATGGAGGAAACGCACATTTGATGACAACTAAGAGCCAGTAATGGTGGAACACACAAGCAGCACCCTCATGTCAGCCACTTGCTCTTACATTTGCCCACAACTCACCCAATGAACTCCAGAAGTATGGAGATGTCAAGTTCTGGTGGGATCCGGAACACAGAGCCCAGAACTTTTCGAGGTCTTCCTCTGCTCACTGGAACTGGCTGTGGGACAGCTGAAACATTCAAATAGTCAAAATGCAAACACAACTTGAAATAAAAGCAGCCCAAGATACTAACATGTGCCAAGCAAAACAGACAAACTCATAAGGAAGAAGACCCCATGCAATTCATCCTATTTTTTTATGACTAAATCAGCTCTTTATACATTTCATGCTGTGTATCTGAACCAGCATGTTATTAGCTTTCAGTATGGCACTTCTCCAAAGAGCTGTTTATTTGATAGTAAGACAAAAACTAATTAAGAGTAATCCCTCATCTGTCAATGGACTTTGAGGTTTTTATTTTTACTCCTTTGGAACATCTATTACTTATTACGCGCCACAAAATAAAATTAACACACATTTTATATATATTTCCTGGTTGTAGGCAAAATATAACTTTTTTTAAAAAAAGCCATCCGTGATTTGGGTTTTAGTGCTGCCAGCCAGTTCCAATTATTTTTGCAATCTGAGAACTGTGACAAGTTACAGTAATCAGGCAACCAAGAATCCCACATTTCCAATACTACATATCTTCTTCAGTTGTGAGCTAATATTTCAAGGAAAGCCCTTAAGAATAAATGGTATAGTAAATATTTCCTTAACAGTGAAGTGATTACAGCTCACCTGGTTTGGGCACTTCTAATCCTCTTTCTTTATAGAAGTCATGCATTTGTTTTTTTTCTCCTGAAAAAAAAAAACCACCACACCACCACCACAATACAGAACAAATTGGAATGTTATTTCAGATGCTGAGAATATTCATATAGTTCCCAATGGTCAGAGCACTAAAAACTTTGCAGGTTCCTACAAACCTTTCCCATCACTAATATTCCACATCAGGCTGGGACATTTAAGATACTGAGACTAAGAGTTTATTAGTAAAAACTGGGAAGAATTCAGAGAAACTGGCCATAAATCATACTGCAATAGCTGGAAAAACTAGTATCCTTCTGGCTGTCATCGCTATTTCTATACAATCTATAGGCTGTCATGACTATCTTTATACCACCTACAGTCCATATATCTCTCTCTCTTCACTAGATGTGTATATTTCACCCAGTCTACCCAGGTGGACTTTGAACTTCGTGAGCCAATGAATCTGCAATGTAAATGACATGAGACAGTGAACACATCTAAAATCAGAAAAATAACTGTGGCAGTGAAAAAAAAAATAAAAGCATTTGAGAGAATCAGTCTTAGCAACCTTTTTTTTCAACTAAGCAAGGTGAACTTATTAGATGGAATGATATTTTCTGTACTTATACAAAAATATGAGGCACGACTGCAAAGTATTATCTGGATGTTTATCGGGATACAGTGACACCTGTGTTTCATGAGATAGGGCACACATTGCTATTCGTAATAGCATTTAGCAGCCAGAAAGATGCCAGTTGTCACAGCTAATTCATTGAGATTTATAACCAAACGCTACAAAACTATTTTAAAGAGTCCAGGAAGAAATGGGGATTTGAATTACTGTTTTCCGTTCAGCCTTTTCAGTCTCTAGATAGTAATAAAATAAAGAAAGGTACTTACTTTCCTCCAAATTGACAACTAATTTATAGACTATGTCTTGCAGTTGCCGGTCCAGTCTATTAAAAAGAAAAAAAAAAGTGAAAGCATCTTTGGTGCAATACAGAATGGTTTTCATTAAACTGTAACAGACAGGCCAAATATATTGTTGAAATATGACGTACATAAAGATTGACAGAGCAGCAACTCCGTATCTGTCTAAATTCACACCCTGACAGTACAGCTCCAACAGAAGAAGCCATGTAAAGCTAAAAGCACCACCCTTCAAGAATTCATGAACAGTTCAAGAAACTAAAACTCAAGTTTTCAGAGTTAATAAGTATACCATGCCAACAAAGCTTTGTTTAAAAGGAAATCAAAGCAAATAGTTAGGACGTCATATCACCTCTAACACTGAGCAAATGCATAAAAGTACCCAGGGTGTGTGGGGGGGGTAACAAACTCTAGAAAGGGATACAAACTAGATAAAACAAAAAATTGGATATTTTTATCTTCACTATTGAGATGAAACTTATCTAAACAAAGAACACAATGCATTCCTTGTAACTGTTCCTTCATTTGAAATAAGAAAGCCCTGAGAGTCTGTAAAACAAAACATTTAAAACCAAGCAGCAAAACTTGAAAAAAATAATCTATAAAAATGGCATGAACTTATTACCTGATATTATAAAGGGGCTGTGTCTGATGTACAACAATATTGCATTTTGGACATCTGTTGCTATAGTAGAAGTGTCTCACTATGCAGCTTTTACAAACTGTAAAGAAAATAAACCCCATAAAAGTCACATGTCCATTATACAATACCACCTCTTTAAGCAAGAGGTGCAATTACACCCAGACTTCTCAAGTAAAATTTGTCAGAAATAAAATGAAGCAAGTCTTCCAACTCTCAAACTCAAGCAAAGAGCAGCTCTCTGCCTGTATAGGATACAACACTCCTGAACATTCAACTGATAATGGATTAATTAATAAATTAATAATAAATAATAATTAATAACCCAACTGACGCAACGGTAGGTGTTCAGTATCGTAATTGTGTTACCCAGAACAAAAGTAGAGCTAAGGCAACAGAACACTGACTGCTGCAGACAGAATATACGCTAAAAAGTTCCCTACAAAGTTTCAGTAGAAGAATCAAGGTAAGAAATTATAATTCTCACATTTTCATTGTATTTTACAAAAGAGGAGAAGGGAGAGGAGGTGGAAAAGGGGGAGAGGGGAAGAAGAGGGAGAAAAAAGAGGAGGAAAAAAAAAAAAAAAGAAGCATTTTCCTGTTATGTATTGTTAGTGGCTGGAAGGACTAGGAAGCCAAGATTCTTGGATTCAGGTGGAAACACGGGTGTGGTTGGAAGTCAGCTTCACAGAAAGTGTTTCATCAGCTTTGAGAGAAAATATTTCTGTCAGCAATGGAAAAACTGTTAACACAACACAAGAATTGAGGGGAAAAATAACAAGACAAGAACATTGAAATCAGGTTTTTATTACCCATCTATTTCTATTCATCAGGTTATAAACTAACTGCTCCATGGGTGCATATAACTGTTTCTGTATCTGAACTGGTATTTCCACACAGCCACTTACTGAGTTTTGTGAACTTACAAGCTCTTATCTGCAGCAGTTTAGGTAACTCTCTAGTCCATTACAAGCACGGCCACCCAACTTTCTTTTCTTAGTTACATACTTAAATTCCTAGAGCCCACATAAAAAAACCAACAACAATAAAAAGTATGTAGTACCTCTGGTTTTGTTTTACTTGGGTTAAACCTACACCTTCCCTCTTAACCTGGGATACTAAGCTGACTTAACAACCGATTTCATGATTTTCCGATGCTTAAAATATCCACAAATATATTTCCCTTAAAGAACAGAATAAATGCAACACACATTCACGTCAAACAGAGAATTATCTTTGTGAAGCCAGAACATCTCAACAGCTGATTTTTGTTTGAATTTGCAACCAAAGTCTTAGAATTACACTACTGATACTTACAGGTGTGTAGACATTCTGTGATTGTTGTAGCATCAATAAAGTAACCTTTGCAGATGGAACATAGGATGTAAGGGGTCAACTCTGCGAGGTTTATCATACGCTACAAACAAAGACATTTTGTAAGAGTTTAAATACACACGCTAAGCTGTGAAATTTCCTGATTGCAGCTTCCAAAATATCACAGCCTTAAACCAAGAAAAAATCTGCATCAATGTGCTACAGAAATGGGTTTTTCTAAGAGGTCAATCATTCTTCATATACAGCTCTTTTTCTAAAGACTTTCATCTAGTATTCTAATTTGACCCTTTTGTGAATAGAAATCCAATTTGTTTCATGAATTTTGTATCTGAAAAGCAAACGAAAAACAATTATTTTGGGAAAAGTTCTTTTGGATAAACTCGTTAACAGAGTATCACATAATTGGCAAGCTTGAAGCTGATACTGGTAGCAAATAATGTCATTATTTGAAAAATACTCAGTAAGAGTGTTAGGGCCCCCAGTGAAGTGGACTTGATTAACAACTAGTGCTGTCTCGTTTCTACACACAATTAGGGATTATACAAATACATATGGAAGCAAAAACTGAAATTTCACTGCTCTGAGTTCTGGTTTATCAGGAACGCATAAAAGCAGTTTTACAACTACTTTGCAGTCACAATTCTATTCCAAATAAAAGAAAAAATTTCTTCTATAGCAATGATCTGAGATCTGTCTGAAAGAGGTAATACATTAGATTTTTACGTTTCGTTTTCTCTCGTCTCAAAGCCAGGATAAGGGGCTTTCGTTCCCTCAATGACAGCACTCATTTCGCCCACGTGGCACCGTTTACCACCCTCTCAGCTACGCCAAGAGTTTGTAAGGGCTTCATTTAAATCACACAGATAAAGTGAACTTGGGTAACGCTAAAAAGCCTATCATCATACAGCTTACGTTGCCAAAGCAGGAGTCCAGATTTGCACCTGGAATTTTTCAAAAGTCCCTTAAAGCATGTAAGTCGAAGTCCACCGCTTACAGGACCTGCCCGAAAACCGCGGGCTTCTGCAGACGCCAGGCCTCACCCGCAAACGCTGCGTTTCACACGCGGCAGCCTCCCCGCAACAGAAAAGCCTGCCCGCCCCTCCGCCTCCCGCTCACACCCCG